CTTAGTTGTAATATCTCCTTTCATTTTATGCCGTTTATAACAGCACCTAAAATAAACAAGTAAAATGCTTAGTTTAAATAAATTTGACCAAAGAAGTAAAAGATCTATACAGTGGAAACCATAAAACAGTCATGAAAAAAACTAAAGATACAAAATAAAGGGAAAAATATCTTGTATTCATAGATTTGAAAAAGTAATATTGTTAAGCTATCTATGCACGCTACCCAGAGCAATCTACAGATTCAATTTAATTCCTATCAGAATTCCAGTTATTTTTTCACAGAAATAGAAAATACACTTCTGAAATTCATATGGAATCACAAAAGACCCCAAATAGCCAAAACAGTCTTGAACTACCTGATCTCAAAATCTTCTACAAAATTACAGTAAGCAAAACAGTATCTTACTGGCACTAAAACAGACACAGACCAATGGGACCAAATAGAGAATCCAGAAGTCTGCTGGAGTCCAGCTCCAGTGGGTTCAGGTCCTGAGAGGAGGTGTGGAGTCAGCGAGGAGAGAATGAAACAGACACTGAGTAGAGGGTGGGCAGCTCAGCTTGTCTGTCTGAGTTATACCGAAATCACTTTACTTATATATGTTTTGATTACACAAGGCTTTCACAGTGTGTTTTCATACAGAATTAAAGAAAAGCTGATATCATCTAAAGAACTATTTTAGACCACCCAGTTCTAAATACTCTTCCGGGTGCTATGTGAACTCTTGCTAACTTATCAGATTTACATTTGAGGAACAAGAAGCATTTTAGCAAGGTCAGGCTACTTCATTAGGCCAAGTTTTGTCAGATCTCGTTGTGTGCCCTGCGGTTATATAGGTGTTGACCAAGGGTGACCTTCCCAGAGCCATAACTGCGTCATGAATTTGTTGATGTCCCAATTTCCCTTTGTACAGTCAGGGCCTATGGATGTCACGTCCCCACTACTCATGGAGGTATGAGTGAGGGGCTTTTCTGTAAATGGATTTACATTTCTTCCTGTAATCCCGGCCTAAGCCTAGTAACCATTTCCGAAGTAATGACTTTTATCCTTTCAGTGATTTCCCGGGGAGTACAGCACTGAGGTAATCACTACCGCGGAAAGCGAAAGCAAAAGATGGAGTCGTGGTTTCAGCCATAGTCTCAGTTTCACTGGAGCTGTGTCAAGCAGCGAGATTGTGACCATGGCCTGCACCAGAAGTCCATGTATTTAGTCACCTGATCTTTGACAAAGATGTCAAGATCACACAATGGAAAAAGGACAGTCTCTTTATTAAATGATACTGGAAAAAATAACCATCCATATGTCAAAAGAATGAAATTGGACTCTGTCTTACGCCATATGCAGAAATCATCTCAAAGTGAAGTATTTAAATGTTAAGAACTGAAACTGTGAAACTGTTAGAAGAGAACGTAGGGGGAAATCTTGTTGATGCTGAGCTGAGAAAAGATATTTTAGGTGTGACCCCAAAAGCAAATATAGACAAATAGGATTGCATGAAGCTTTTGTTCAGCAAAGGAAATAATTGTCAGAGCACAGAGACAAGTATGTGCAAGCCATAATCTGATAAGGTAAAATAACCAAACTACATAAGAAACTCAAAAATTCAACAAGAAAAAGACAAATATCCTAATTTAAAAATGGACAAAAGGACCTGAAAACACGTTTCTCAAAAAAGGCACATTACAAATGACCAACAGATAATTGAAAAAATAACAACACTAATCATCAGGGAACAAATTTAAACCACAATGAGATACCACTTCACACCCATTTTGGTGTGTATTATCAAAATACAAGTTAGTGTTGGTGAGTGTAGAGAGTGTTTGTATGCTCTTGGTGGGAGTGTAACCTGGCATGGCCATTATGGAAAATAGTATGGAGAACAAAATGAGAGCTACCATATGCTCCAGCAGTCCCACTGCTGGGTACATATCCAAAATGTAGGGCCGGGGTTTTAGCTCAGTGGTTCCGGCGTCTGCCTCGCAAGTACAAGGTCCCGAGTTTGATCTCCGGTACCAAAAAACAAAAACAATATGTAATGAAATCACTATGTCAAAGAGATACATGTACTCTTGTGTTTGTGGTAGCATTATTCACAATAGCCGAGGTATGGAAATAACTTAAGTGTCTGTCAGCAGATGAATGGTAAGAAAATATAGCATATGTAGCAATTAAAAGGAGGAAGTCCTGTCATTTGCTGTAAAAGGGTTGAACCTAGAGGACATTGTGCTGGGTAAAATAAGCCAAGTCTAGAAAGACAAATACTGCATAACCTCACTGACCTGTGGAATCCTAAAAAGCCAAATTCAAAGAAAGAGAAAACAAAATAGTGGTTACCAGGGGCCAAGAGTAGGGGAAGGGATTGGGGGGATGTTGGTCATAGGATGTAAAATTTCAGTTAGACTGGTGGAATAAGTTCTTTTGTACAGCATGGCAGCTGCAGTTAATAATAATGTATACTTGAAGTTTGCTAAAAAGAGTAGATATTAAATGTTTTCATCACACCCAAAAACAATGTTTTTGAGAATTTACTCTTTGGTCCCTATGCTAATATGAGTGAGTTTAATGCTAATGAACTGTCTTTATATTTGAAATTATCCAATGGTTTAAGTTAGTGAAAATTGAGAAGTAAGATATCTAGGAGTCTCTATGGCCTGTTCACTTTTTACCTTTTAAAATCACTCTGTGCTACTTTGAAACCCACATCATGACTTGGCATCAAGTTAATTAGCAGGAATATTTACTGACCTTGTTTGTAGACTTATGAAAATCTATGTACTTTTTTCCTTAAAGCAGAAATCATAAGATCTTAATACCAAAATTTTCATTTTAATAAAAAGGCCTTATAAGCACAGTACTTGGAAATATTTTCCAGAAAAAAACTTCCAGACTATTTAGAAATAAATGAACAAAAATAAACCCAGTGCAAGAGTTGTGGGATTTGACCAAACCCATGTGCTGGGGAAAATTTTTTTTTTTTTTTGGTACTGGGGATCAAACTTGGGACCTTGTGCTTGCAAAGCAGGTGGCAGCACCATTGAGCTAAGTCCCTGCCCCAAAAATTTATAAATTTTAATGGAAGTTTCTAAAGACAGAAAAGAGTAAACAAATGAATTGAGCATTTGACTCAAAAACTTCTTTTAGAAATCTAATGAAAATAAAGAATTGTTCAAAATAAAAGCAGAAAGTAACAACACGGAATGTAATTGATTCATTCATAGTGTTGAAACCGCTAAAGATTGATGGATTTGGGGCCAGGGATTTAGCTTAATGGTGCCGTCACCTGCCTCACAAGCGCAAGATCCTGAGTTCGAGCCCCGGTAACCAAAAAAAAAGAAAAATGATGGATTTAGCAAATCCATGCAAGAAAGAATAAAGATGATTAAAAAAAATACAGTAGCTGCATATCATTTTATTTTTACTTATAAAAAAGAACTTCCACTCATGTTGACAAGATATGCATATTTAGGTACCTCTGTACCCTACATGCATAGAAATTATATATAAAAAATTATAAGTGCTGCTATATATATCATCTCTAAAACTAGAGGGGGAAAATGTCTTTAGGTAAAAGGGAAGAGAAATCGGAAGTAGAAATTGAGTTGGTGTCCATGAGCACCACAAGAATTAGAACTGAAAACTCAGGCAATAGAGATGAATTTCAGAAGCTCCAAGAAAAGAACTTTAGTGCCTATACTAGACCTGCTTTCTTATAGTGTGGTGAAGAAACCAAAGTAGCTTTCATGGGTTTTGTTATGTCTGTTGTGGTTATCTGGTCACTACATAACAAGCCACCCTAAAACCTACTGCTTAAAAAGAACAGTGGTTATTATTTCTAATGATTTTCCTGGTTTAACTGGGCTGTTCTGCTTTATTTAGTTTTGAGTTGGCACTGGAAAAGGCTGGAAGGTCAAAAATAACCTCATTACATGGCTTGGTTCTCCTCCGTTTGGTCCCCTGCATGCTGGTTGAATTTACTCACATTATAGCTGCCTTGGATCCAGGAAATGCACACCAAGACAAAAGCAGTTATTACAAAGTATCATATGATATAGCCTCAGAAACTACACAGCATCAATGGTGCCACTTTTTTTTTTTTATCAAAAGTAGTCACAGGGCTTGCCTAGGACATAGGGAGAGGCAATAGACTCCCTCTTACAGTAGGATGATTTAATCATATTACAAAAGAGTGTGTGAGATGAAAGACATTAGACATTTTCAGAAATGTAACTGGTCAGTTTCCTTTGACTTACATTTAATATTTTGCCCAGCATATCAGTAGACATTTTAAAGCAAAGATTCAAACCCAAGTTAACCTAATTCCTTAGCCTTCATCAGTAGCCCTTACCGTGAGAGTTACTTCTCTAAGGAGAGAAAAGGGAATAATAGAAAATACATGGTCTCTTAAGTTGTAAGCAAGATCTTAGATGGTGAATCTGACTTTTCGTAAAATAGTGAAATTTGTGACAGTGTTAAAGTTCATATGTAGGCATGGAAAATTGCACCATATAATATGTAATAGGAAGAAGAGATGTTCAGATGGGATGATATTTAGGGAAAAGAAAAAGGTGAGATATGCATATTTATGTTAGGAATAAAGGTAAGTGGTAGGTAGCTTCATACAAAGCTTTGATTACCAGGCCATGGAATTGGATTATTTCTAGAAAAAAGAATTTCTGAAAGGTTTGGAAGAAGTGTTGATTAACCTGGGGTTTAAAAAGATTTGTCTGTTTAAACCTCATAGAATGATAATAGTAAACTAAACAATTCAGCAAATTGTATTCATTGGGAGTGTAATGAAAATGAAGAGGTGATGGTTTTCAGAAAAGTTACATTTATACTCTTCCATTTCTTGAACATCTCTAAAATTGTTTAAATGAAGCTATTTTATTTGATCACTCACATTTAACAGGTTTTCTTTAATAAATCATGCAAAAATTATCTTGCCATTTCAGACTTTTTACTCTGAATTTCTGAGCCACTTCTCTTTTCCCTCATTAGGTTAATGGCACTGATGCAGATTATGAATATGAAGAAATCACACTCGAAAGGGTAAAAACTATTATCTTAATCTGTTGTTTTAAAGAACTTTAAAATACATTGCTCAATCATATAGATCCTACAGAAGGATCTTTCAGAAAACAGAAAAATGTAAAATATTTCCTCTTCTAAGTTCACAGATCATAAAATTAGCAGTGGTATTTTCAGAATGTTTCTTTTCACTAATATCCTTTTCTTGGATAATTTAAAAATAGTTTTAGATTAACCAGAAAGTTGTTGAAAAGATGGCACAAAGAATTCCCATTTACCCTGAACTTATACTCTGCTGTTGTCAACATTTTACATTATTAGAGTTTTATTTATTTTGGCTAATGAACCAATATGTATTATTATTAATTGAACTAAACTTTATTCCTGTTTCCTTAGTTTTTATGTTTTTTTATTTCAGGTTCCCATCTAGGAAACCATAGTACATTTAGTTATGTCTCCTTAGGCTGTGACAGTTTCTCAAATTTTTCTTTTTAATTTTGTTTTTATTTTCGTGCCTATAGTATTCATTTTAACTAATATGATAGTAACTAGCATTGCATCAGTTTTATTTCCTGGCAAAATAATAACTATAGTTCTAATGGAAAATATCTTAAGGGTGCAGTTAAGATAAGTAAAGTTTCTTAAGATACGTTTTTAAGAATATCTACATTTAGAAGGGAAAAAAGTGAATACAGTTCATCTGTTTAAGGGTGAGGATGTAGCTCTCAGCAGTGGAGTGCTTCCCTACCATGCGTGAGGTCTTGAATTCAACCCCCAGCACTGCAAAATAACAACAACAAAAACTAGAACTCTGCATTCAGTTTATACTGATTTTTAATAATGCCACCTTGTCTGGCCAGTAGTTCTGGGAAATTAAATGTTCCATATAAGTAAATCTCCTAGATAATTGTCTGTATATTTAAAACTAAAATCTTAGATAAATTTTTAATTAAAGCCAGAATAGACTGTATAGAAAATAAATAGATCTGAGAGGATCTTTTACATGTAAAATCAATTTTTATTGCCTGCTCCTTAAATCAAGATCATCTGCTCAAGTTAGGTAGGTGCCTGAGTAACATTTAAGTAAACACAGTATTAATATATATATTTTAATATAACATTTTGTGTTATCTCTTAGCTTCTTATTTTTTCTTTTTCATCCTTTCAAAAAATCTCAGTAAAACTTAGGACAGTACATTGTATTTTTCTCTTATTGAAGAACTTGAGTACCTAAATAACATGGTTACCTCCCACAATCTGTTGGTACTATTACAGAGATTCAAGAGTTTAAACCGAAAAAATTTTTGTTGTTTTTTTTTTCATCAAATTACAATTTTAGAACAAAGTAGTATGCGGTATTTAAGCCTTAATACTAATTGGTTAAGTAATGGGTCCAAATATATCCACTTACTTGATTTGTATGAAAGCTAGAGTTAGACATTTTTACAAAAGTAAACATCTTTAGGTCAGTAGTCCCAGAAGACTTATAGTAGTAAAACCCTTTCTGTAAAGGAAATACTCAGAAATTCAGTTTCTCCAGTTTTTAAAAACAAGCCTTGTGACCTGCTTTAGCAAAATTTACTTTGCTATCAAGAAAGCTACCAATTAATTCTGTTTGGACTTTCAGTACTAACAAATGCCTTTTGTTACTCAGGTATCTTGGTTAAGCATGACTGGTGGTAGCTGTTACTTAGTAGCTCCAATTTTGTCCTTTAAAAATAAGGCCTGGGATTTAGCTCAGTGGCACCACGCCTGCCTTGCAAGTGCAAGGTCCTGAGTTCAGTCCCCTGTGCCAGACAGAAAAAAAAAAACCTATTGACAAAGTTAACAGAAAAACTCCACTACCACCCTTTTTTTAAAAGGTTGAAATAATATATTGGTTTGACCTATTGAGAAATAATGGCAGCAGAACCACCACTTCAGTGTGTCTCTTAGGAGAAATTTTTCCTTCCAAATACCGCAGAGGTGGTCTAAAAGAAAGAAATTTGTAGTGACACCTCTGCAGAGGGATGACTCGACAAATTGCACATACTTTTAAAGAAGGACCTGCAGGGCCGGGGATTTAGCTCAGTGGTTTTGCTGCCTGCTGTGCAAGCGCAAGGACCTGAGTTGGATCCCCGGTACCAAAAAATAAAGAAGGACTTGCAGACTAGACTTCAGAAGTACTGGGTACATTTTCTTTAGACTCATCTACTGATTAATAAGGCCTCTGAAAGGATTTTCCATATATTAAGAGCATGTGTATTTAATTTAGAATCTTCATGTTACTCACATATGTACCTTGCTATGTTGTGTTTCCTATTTTAGTACAGTTTCTAGTCCTACAATGACAAGAACCTCTCAATAAAGATAATTCTTGGGCCGAGGATGTAGCTCAGCAGCACAGCACCTGCCTGGCAGTTGCGAGGCCCTGAGCTCAATTCCAGGTACCCCAAAAAAAGAAAGGGAAAAAAAAGATAATTCTTGAATTTTTTCCTTCCCTCCCCAGGGAAATTCAGGGCTTGGTTTCAGCATTGCAGGAGGTACAGACAACCCACACATTGGAGATGACTCAAGTATTTTCATTACCAAAATTATCACGGGGGGAGCAGCTGCCCAAGATGGAAGATTGCGGTATGGTTTGTACTTTATGTTGTGACATTGATTCAATTTTGTGGACTTCTCTTGAGGCATACTGGATGAGGAATAAATAAAATAAAAAACACAGTCATATAAACTAACATTAGGTAGGTGCTCAAACAGCATACAGATGAATAAGAAATTTTGTTATTAGCATTGCTTCCAAGCTCTTTTCATTTAGAAATTTAGTCTTAGATAAATTTAATCTTATCTTAGATTTTATAATATATTGAATAATAAATATGATAGGTTTAAATGCTTGTGCACAGATTTATAGAAACCCTTTATGTTTTCTAGTATATTCACAAAATATTTTCCATTTGTTTCCTTGTTGGGAAACATGCATAGTATACAAACTTATTCAAGGAATATATATATATATATTGTATCCCATACCACAAAAAGTAAAGTATAACTAACTTAAAGTTTAGTTAATACATTTTAACAATCTTTTGTTTAATTAGTGTTCTATTTTGGAAGTTAACTGTTGCAGCTTATAATTTCCTTTGGCCATAAATGATGGCACCTTTCCTGTTTCTTTGGTGGTGGTTTTGTTTGTATATGGTAGCAGACTGATAGTGTAAAGCTAAGGATTTTATGTAGTCTGTTAATACCCGTTAAATATATTATGTAGCTCTTCAGTTTCTGGGTTTCACTGGATATGACAGGTATATAGTAATGAAAAAGTGAAAAATTTGACAATTTATGGAAATGTAGGCATTTACTTCCTGATTCTGTTACTGGCCTTTTATTTGTGTTGCTCACATAAAAATTAATATGTTCTCTTTGTTTTACTGAACCATCCCTGTAGTACTAAGATATCATCCTTTGAGTAGAATTTCTTTCCTCTAAAGAAAGAGAGGCTTGTCATGACCAGTTGTAATATTTTAATTGTGTTTTGTTTACCTCCCTACTGATTTAAGATGATTATTGTTTTCTCTTAATGGAATACCATGCAGTCAAAACTGAGACCAAAGCTAGGGGGAAAGGTTAGGACTAGGAACAAATCAAACTTTTAAAAAAATTTATAACCATGACAAATTATAAGTTATTTGCCTAACAAACCTTTGAACTAAATGGCCTAATTTATAATGTCATGTCAATTTAATTCTAATATCTAGGATGGAAAAGACATTTTAAAAATTATTTTTGGAGCCAAGCATAGTGGCATATACTTGTACTCCAAGCACTCTGGGAGGCTGAGGCAGGAGGATTTAAAGTTCAAGCACAGCCTGGACAACTTAGCATCTTGACAAGGCCCTGTCTCAAAAATTAAACACTTTTATCTCAATGTGAAGACCCCAGGTTCAATCCCCAATACCCACCTTTTTCCAAAATTTATTTTTCCATAAATCCATGACTTAATATGTTTTGACACTGTCACTGTGATCTTAAGTTAATCAGTCTCCTTGAGCCTCATTTTCCTTAACTGTAAATAATAGCTCTGTCACTTATTATCTGCATGACCTTGGAAAAGTTAAACTTGTGCTTCGGTTTCTCGTCTATGAAATTACAGGTCATTATTTAACCATTAAAACACTAAAAAAGTACCTAGCATGTGGTTGGTGCCATGTAAATGTTTACCTTTGCAAAGTATCTTAAGTGCCCACTCCCACAGTAGACATGCAAATATTTAATATTTTTGTGTAATCAGCTATTTGCATTATTTGTCTTGTTCCTTTTGCTGGCTTTTGGGAAATAATTGTATTTTTACATGTACCTTTTATATTTTCTGGATAAATAATTCTTTTTACTTTAAAAATGAAAGTAACAGAAATTGGCAAAATAAAATACTAATATTTAAGTTTTTAAACATTTAACTTTTTTCTCAGGGTAAATGACTGTATATTGCGTGTAAATGAAGCAGATGTTCGTGATGTAACACATAGCAAAGCAGTTGAAGCATTGAAAGAAGCAGGTTCTATTGTACGTTTGTATGTAAAAAGACGGAAACCAGTCTCAGAAAAAATAATGGAAATAAAGCTCATTAAAGGTCCTAAAGGTATGTGGGAATTCATACTAAGATTATTAAAAAAGAAATCTAAATATAACTTTGAACCTATTTTTGACATCCATCCTGAGATCAACAGTACTTGGTAATCTACAGAATTTGACTGACTGTAGAATTTCTGGTATTTCTACTAATTTTGTGTCTTAAGCAGAATGTCTGTGTTCCTGCTAAGATTGCAGCATTTGAGAAGTTCTTATGGTAATTTATGTGCACTATTACACTTTTTTTTGTTGTTTGTTTCTGAGACAAAGTATTACTTTGTAGTTCAGACTGGCCCTGAACTCACTGTGTAGCCCAGACTGCCCTCAAACTCATGGCAATCCTCCTGCCTCTGCTTCCCGAGTGCTGGGATTACAGGCATGCGCCACCACACCCGGCCACTATTGAACATTTTACTGCTGTGAACACACACATATATATAAATTTATAATTTAAGAATCAGTTCCATGTGATTTTTATATTCAAAATTTCCATAACCTATCTTTAGTTTTTAATAAGTAGGTTGGTTCTTACTTGGTTTAAATATTATCTGTGACCTTTGTCATTAAAAGAAGTATTCTTGAACCAAGAGTGTAGCATAATGGAAGAATTCTTGCCTAGTATTTACCAGGCCCTGGATTTGATCCCCAGCACTGCCAAAAAATAAAAATATTCTTGACCATAAACACTTTGAAGTCCTAGATAGAGTTTATGTTAGCTTGTGATAATCAACCTGCAGAGTACTTTAAAAGCAGATAACATAGTTTAAGTTAAAAGAAGGAAGGATTCATAGCTGGAAGTTTACAGTGTCATGAGCAGTGACATCTGCAGTCACATCTTTTAACATGTAATTTCTGAATTTTGAAAATACTTCTGGGATTGAGGATATATGGAAATATTGATTCCAATGTATGGCTTCATGGAAGAAGTAGGATTCCAATAAATGAAAAAGAAACAGAGTGGGAATTTGGTATTGAAACTACAGGACTTGCCGGGGATTTAGCTCAGTGGTTTCGCCACCTGCTGCGCAAGCGCAAGGACCTGAGTTTGATCCCCGGTACCAAAAAAGAAACTACAGAACTTATGAATTGCAGAAATTCCTTACTTAAATTTAATTCATAAAATATTGGGAAAGAACAAAAATATCCACATTTCTAAAGCCTGTCCACACCAGCAGATAAAAGTATTAGTAAAAAGCATAATTATGATGGACAAAAATAAAATACAATGTTTTACAATGTCTCTTTGGACTAACAAGTCCATTTATAAAATAACTTTAAGGAGGAATGGGAAGGGGGGTCTGTAACTCTAGAAGTGCCTATATTATCACCCCTTGATTGCAGAATAATACTTGATTTTCAAAGTTGATAGCTAAATAAATTCTTTTCTATTTTAAAACACTGTGATGGACTTCCTTAATTTTCAGCCATTTGTTTCTGAGGTAAGTTCATTTTTATTGATGAGAATCTAAAACTATTGTTTTGCAAATAGGTCTTGGATTCAGCATTGCTGGAGGTGTTGGAAATCAGCATATTCCTGGGGATAATAGCATCTACGTAACCAAAATAATTGAAGGGGGTGCAGCACATAAGGATGGTAAACTTCAGATTGGAGATAAACTTCTAGTGGTAAGTATGTGATATCTATTGTTCTAAAAGTCATTTTGGTGAAAATAATTGAAGGGGGTGCAGCACATAAGGATGGTAAACTTCAGATTGGAGATAAACTTCTAGTGTTAAGTATGTGATATCTATTGTTCTAAAAGTCATTTTGGTGTGTATTTTTTCCTGACAGTCACTGGAATTTATACATACCAAAAATGCTTAAATGACATTTATTGATTGATTGATTGATATAAAATATATATATATATCTTGATTTCTCTTTTTTTTCCCCAATTTCCTTTCCTCCCTTCAACCTCCTCTCCCCCCTTTTTACAAAAGCTTTGTTTCCATTTTTTTCTTTTCTCGATTTTTTTTCCCTTTTCCCTTCCTTTTTCCCCCCTACCCCTTTCATAGTTTCCTTTTCCTTTTGAACAGTTTCTTCCTATTTCATATCATCTGTTATATATTTTGGTCCTTATTTACCCTTTCAGTTTCTCACACCAGAGAGACAATGCAATGTTCATACATATGTGTCCGATTTATTTCACTTAGTCTCAAGTTACATCCATTTAACTATAAATATCTCAAGTTTTTCTTTATGACTGAGTAGTACTCCGTTGTATTAAAAACCATGTCTTTTTCTATCCATTCATCAGTTGATGGGCATTTGGGTGATTTCCAAGATGTAGCCATTACAAACTGTATCACTATAAACATGGGTGCACATATATCATTGTGGTATGATGCTTTTAATTCTTTTGGAAAGATACCCAGCAGGGGAATAGCTGGGTCAAATGGGACCTCTAGTCCTAATTTTCCGAGAAGTCTCCACACTGATTTCCACAGTGGTTGCACCAGTCTGCACTCCCGCTAACAGTGGAGGAGGGTTCCTTTTTCCCCACAGCCCCACCAGCATTTGTTACTGGTTGATTTCTTGGTGTAATAGCCATTCTTTCTGGTGTGAGATAGACTCTCAGCATTGTTTTAATTTGCATCTCTCAGATGACCAGTGATGTTGGATATTTTTTCATGTATTTATTTGGCATTTCTGCTTCTTCGTTTGAGATGCCTTTTTTTGGACTGGGTCTTTTAATTTGGGTGCTCTGATTTGTTTCAATTCTTTGTATGTTGTAGATATTAGTCCTTTATCTGAGGGACTACTGAATAAAACGCTTTCCCATTCTGTGGGTTGTCTCTTCGCTCTGTTGGTGATTTCTTTAGCAGTTCAAACCCTTTTTAATAGGATAAGATCCCAGTTGTTGATTCTTTGCACTATTTCCTATGCAGTTTGGGTTTAGTTCATGAACTTGTTGCCTACCCCTATGTCCTCTTAAGAGTTCTACCTATTCTCTCTTCCAGCAGATTTAGTGTTTGTTTTAATATTTAGATGTTTGATCCATTAAATGACATTTAAATGAGTGCATTGCTGCCTATACCCACACCCATCTAAACAAATTTCCGTAATCACTGTGTTTCTCACTTTAATTTTTTTTTTTTTTTTTTTTTGGTACCGGGGATTGAACTCGGGACCTTGTGCTTGCAAGGCAGGTGCCGGAACCCCTGAGCTAAATCCCCACCCCCTCACTTTAATTTTTTAATTTCATGGATACCATGTTTGTTTGTTTTTGGTACCGAGGATCGAACTCAGGACCTTGCACTTGCGGGGCAGGATTGGCGCTACTGAGCTACATGCCTGGCCTGGATACCATGTTTTTTATTTAAGGTTTCTATAGAACCAGTTTTGTTGGTTGGGAGCCAGCATTCTGTGCTGATTTATCATCGTGGCAGGACTCTGAATCTCTTTTAAATCTACTTTTAATTGAAGCGTTTGTCTTATTATTACACTGAAATTAGCAACTTTTTAATTCTCATCTTAATTGACTTGTCTGGCATTTGACATACTTTCCTCCTTCTCCAAACCCTGTTTCCTTTTGCTTGGCAGTCACTCTCTGTCTTGGCATTTTTCTTACTCGACACTCCTCATTTTCTTTTTCTGGTGTTTACTCATCTCCCCTACTTCTAAATAGTGAAGTGATCCAGAATTCAGTCCTTGTACATTTTCTTTATCAGTGCTCACTTCTAATGTCCCTGTTTAGGTTAAGACTGTTTGATAAATGGCCAGGTAACTTTGCTTTCAAGCCTGAAATTTGGGGATCATCCTCTTTCTTTAATACTACACATTGACTTCTTCAGCAAATTTTGTCATGTTTTTGTATTATTTAATACTGCATAAGAAAACACAGAAATTTAATGGCTGCAATAACAACAATCATGTGTTTGCTTACAACTCTGCAAGTTGGGTAAAAGTTAGCAAAGACAGCTTGTCCATACTCCACATAATGTCAACTGTGGTGGCTCAACCAGGGCCAGTCTGCTTCCATGTTGGCCCACACACATGATGTTGCCATGTGTGTTGTGTTGCCTGTCAGCTGGAAGCTCAAGTGGGTCAGTTAGCCAGATGTTTAATTCTCCAAAGGCTTCTCCTCAAGGCTACATCAGGCTTTTCACAGGATAATGACCAGGTCCAAGAATGAGAGGACAAGCCCTATTGTGTGGCAATTATCAATCCTCTCTTTCCAAGAGTTACTCTGTCTCATTGACTAAGAGCTAGTTTTGTGGCCACATAAGATGAGTACATATTGGAAGGCATTTTTATAAGGATATGAATATGCGGCTCTATTATGACTCATCACAGGCCACCAAAGGAACAGGCATGTATTTTCAAAATACAGGCAGCCCTCACTTTGTATGGTAGTGTAAACCATAAAAATAACTATCCTGTTGAAACCTTGCAAAACAATATTAGTAGTCAATGGGGAAAATTACGATTCTTCTATGACTTTAAAAAATTTTTGGTCAAATCATTGGAAATTCTCCGTTGTCAATTTTTTTTTTTAATTTTTTTTTTTTTTCCAGTACTAGAAATCAAACTCAGGAACTGGCACTTGCCAGGCAGGCACAGCACCACTGAGCTAAATCCTTGACTCCGTTGTCAATTTTAAAGACACAAATTTGAAAAATGAAAAAATATATTACAGTTAATACTTTGGTACATTTTAATTTAAAATAGAAACATTGATAATGTTTTCTTTTTTGTGTGCAAAAAATTATCAAAGACAAGAACAACCTGAACATAAAGCAAAGAGAAGGAAGGAAATGATAAATGTTAGTGCAGAAATACATAAAGCAGGAAATAGAAAACCATAAAGAAGATGAGCAAAACCAAAAGTTGACTAATCAACAAAATTGTCAACCCTTTAGCTAGACTGGCCAAGAAAAGAAGAGAGAAGTGTCAAATTTCTAAAACCAAGAACAAAAGAGTGAACATAAAAGAATTGTATGAACAACTATAATGCTAACACATTAGATAATTTCAATGAAATGAACAAATTCCTGAAAATAAAAACAAGATGATAGCCAGAGCATTAAGAACAGAAAAATAAAAGACATTAAGAATAGAATGTAGAGGGCTGGGGTCCCAAGTTTGATCCCCAGTACCTAAAAAAAAAAAAAAAGAAAAGAATGTAGGACCGGGAATGTAGCTCAGCAGCACAGCGTCTGCTTGGCAGGCACAAAGTTCTGAGTTCAATCCCTGGTACCAAAAAGAAAAAGACTGTAGCTTAGGGGTAAGAGCATTTGCCTAGCATTTGCCAGCCCCGCCTGAGTAGAGAAGAAGAATCAAAGGAAGCAAAGCTGTATTTGTAGGTGACAGTCACACACACATACACACAAAAATCCAAGCAAACATACTAATAGAACTAATAAACAAGTTCGGCAAGTTGGCAGGGTATACATTAGTATCTACATGTATTTATATTTCTGTGCACAAGATAGATGAATGGCCAATAAAGAATTGGGGCAAAACTCTTATTACTGACAGTGGAAATACAAATTTAAATAATTTGATGTACAGGGAAAATAAGACACTAATTTTAAAAACCTTGTAAATGATAATATTCAGTGCTAACAAAGGTCTAAGTAGATGAGTAATCTGGTAATGTGGGTTTACTAAAGCCATTTAGGAGAACAATTTATTAATTTGGGAGTAGTTTAATAAATTGCAGTATAACCACATAATAGAGTACTATGTAGCATTTTTTTTAAATTGTAGTGTGTATCCCAACATCTCTAAAATACTTAATATTAAAGATCCATTTGCAAAATACAAGTTTTAACATGGCCTCATTTCTTTAAACAAAGAACTAAAATACACCCACACACGTTACATTCCTAAATTCCTAAGAAAGAGAGGAAGTTAATATGTATACTTTCCTGATATCATACATAATAAAGATGGGTATTTTCTTTCCACACACTTCTATTTTCTTTAAATCACTCCCTCATATTCCCTGATTTGGTACAATTATAACCAAAAGCAAGAAAGCAAGTGCAAATATTTTAAATGTCTCTTGGGATTTTCTTTTAGGTGAATAGTGTATGTTTAGAAGAAGTTACTCATGAAGAAGCAGTAACTGCTTTAAAGAACACGTCTGATTTTGTTTATTTGAAAGTGGCAAAACCCACAAGTATGTACATAAATGATGGCTACGCACCACCTGATATCACCAATTGTAAGTCTGTTTGCTTAAGCTTGCTTAAATTTATTTTACTTGTTTAAGATGTGATGTACTTTCATGAAATGTTTCCAATATAATAGAAAAAGGTTAAACATTGTAAAAAAGAAAAAAAATTTTTTCTTTCTTTTTTCGATATCAAGGATTGAACTCAGGACCTTGCGCTTATGAGGCAGGCACAGCACCATTGAGCTAAATCCCCAACCTTGTAAAAATATTTTTAAATGACTGTTAAGCATTTTAATCTAAGAATTTTTATGAGGTGGGATCCTTTTCACCTTTACTGGTTAATAATTTAAAGCATTGCTTCACAAGGTTTTATATAAATGACAGTCACCAGAAAGTATTTGTAAATAATATAAATACTTGGGCCGGGGATTTAGCTCAGTGGTTTCAACACCTGCTATGCAAGCACAAGGACCCAAGTTCGATCCTCGGTACCAAAAAAAAAATAAATGATAGTAATAATAATATAAATACTTATTTTGTTCTAAAACTTTTGAGCTTAAGCACAGAAATATAACAAGTAGTGCTGGGGATTTAGCTCAGTGGTTCTGCCACCTGCCTCACAAGCACAAGATCCCGAGTTCGATCCAAAAAAAAAAAGAAATATAACAAGTAGTTTAGTAGCATGCTGCTCTGTGCTGCTGGCTTATGGAATGCACTTTGAGAAACTGATTTTATATATTCCTAGGACGTAAGAGATTTTTCTATACTCTCAGCTGCAAAAGAACAGATACTATCTTTGTGCTTTAAGCTTCTAGTTCATTGACGGCAAACTCTTTAGAGCTTTCAATAGTAACAAACAGCCTGCTGAGGCACACATCCCAGAGGTTCGCCACCAATGCCTATTTATGTGCAATTCAATTGGGTTGCATGGAACTGAATTGTTATGTAGTATTTGTGTGCTTTAAATATTATAATATATTTTAATGGGCTTGTGTTGGTTGAAAAATGAAAGCTTTATTTGTTCTGTGCATTGAATTAATATTAAATGAACCTGTGAGTGATAAAGATCTAAAATGTGTTTGTAATCTACTTTGAGGGTTCTTTTTTTAAGTTGTGATTTTTATATATGGCAATATTTCCAGTTTTAAAACTGTCAAGATTCATTACCATCACTAGTCGCCATAAGTTAAATACACATTATAAATTTTTTTTGGTACTGGGGATTAAACTCGGGACCTTGCGCTTGTGAGGCAGGTGCCGGAACCACTGAGCTAAATCCCTGGCCCCATCCCCATTATATTTTGAAATCTTTTTATTGTTCTCTGACAGTATGTCTTATCTGTTTATTGATTTATTAAGTATAAGTAGATTATTTTATCAATAATTTCAGCCTAATTGACAGAAATGGTGTCTTATAGAAAGATTTTTATATATTTTTATTTGTGATTAAAGATACAGTTTCAGTAATAATCTATTTGATTCATCATTTCAGGTATCAGTCATACTTTGAATATGCTTTTATCTTCAAGACAAACATGCACATTTGGGATAGTTGTTCCACCAGTTGAGAATTGGTGCCAGATAATGACCAAGCATACAAGTAGCCAGGCTGCTTCTTACAAATATGTTAAGCAGAGAAAAATGTTGTTTTATTGAATTATTCTTTGTTATGTATAATAATTTGATTTTTTTAAAATGGAATAGCTAGTCCTAAAGAGATAATTAAATGACTGTTTGCCATGTAGATATAGGCAGTATATTTATTTCTTTGTTGTTGATGTTTCCCACCCATTATTGAACTAATAGAATATTACAAAAAAATTATATATAGTTCACTTTGCTAGTTCAACTTCTGTCATGTTTTACTTACTTTCCCCTCTCTTCTGACACAACTACAATGGTGAATTTTATTCTGTCATTCTAGTTCATAGTTATTCTATATATCCAATTCATAAGTAATTTATTCATGTGGGTCTTTTAAAAAGCATTGTGTTTTAAAATTTTTTACACAAGTGATTTTTGTGTTAGCCTTCCTGAAGCCATTGTTATCAAACTATTCAATTTACTTCCTGTTCCTTACATTATAGTCATCTGGTTACCTCCTCATGAATCTGTCTTTATTCCCTGAAGGTTTTCATGCTAGCCCATTTTCTTTCTTGCTGTTTTTATATTATTCTTCTTAGTGATAGCCAAAATCAACACAAATGATTTATCCAAAACCCTGGCATGTTGGCTTCTTGATCTGTTTCTGACTGTCCTGCCCTCCATTTCAGTTTAGGTGATTGTTTGCAAGATAATACTGATCTTATCCATAATGATCAGTTCTTTCATCATATTGAAAATACCAGTTTAAGTCATCCCATTTCTCTGTCCAAACCATCAGTTCACTTACTCCGTTTCTAGTAATTCAGCCTCATTTTGACCTTGAGTCATTTGACATTATCACTTTATTGCCCCCTTATATGTCCATTTTTCTAATTTTTTATTTAGCTTTAGCTTTTTTTGTCGTGATACTCATTTCCATACATGTATCTCCTGATCCTTTGGCCCTTTCTTCTTAATTGCCAAAATCCCAACACCAAATTTTGTCCCTAAAAGCAGAACATGACTGGAGAAGTACACGGAATTGTACTGCCTTTTAACTTATGACTACATTTCAGATGGAGCCTCACTCTTACCAGCTGCATTCCTTTAATTCACTCTCACACTCTGAGAATTCTTCCCTCTTCACAACTTCTTCACTTGCCATCCATACCTCAGACCGATGACTTTATATCATACTCCATTAAGCATCCAGAAGTGTCCTTACTCTTCTGCTTTTATATGTACCTACGTAAATATAGTTTTGCCCAAAAGTTCTGCTTTCCTTTGTGTATAATGGAATAACTATCATTGTTCCTGTCAGTTAGGAGTTCTGTTTGTGTACTGAATCTCATTTCTTATCTCTAAGGGTCTTGTTCTTGCACCTGTGCTTTCTCTCTACTACATAATCATGTTCTTTCTGTTGAATCATTACCATGAGCACACAAATATGCTGTACAACATTCCCTGTCTTGGGGAGGGGCTGAGGGTGAGAAGGAACCTTCCTACCATCTGAGATATATCCAGCTACTGCTCTTTTTCTCTACTTAATACTACAAAGAAATATGGGCCAGGGATTTAGCTCAGTGATACCACACCTGCCTGGCAAGCTCAAAGTTCTGAGTTCTATCTCCAGTACCAAAAAAAAAGAAATAATACTCCTACTATCTAAAGAACTCTGAACTCTGTCACAAAGGCAAGAGCAGTTGCAAACTGGGAAGAGTCTATAAAAGATTCATTTAGGTAATGAAGGGTACTCAATCTAGGCATAAGAGGAGAAATACAGATGAAAACTATGTTCATTATAGAGCAAATCCACTGTCCTTGTTCTTTAACTTAGAAAAAAATTCTACTTAAAGTAATTGTTTTACCATTAACTTTTACTCTTTCTCTTGAATTTCAGTGTTGATTCCATAAGATTTTATTTTTAATTGACACATAAGTGTACATATTTATGTAATGCCATGTGAAAATACATTTATACGGTGTATAATGATCAAATCACATAAGATTTTGAAGAGAATTGACATCTTTATAATATTGGACCTTTCTGTCCATGAACATTTCTCCATTTATTCTGATTTTTGATCTTATTTTATATCTTTTAGTACTTTTTCTTCATTTAACTTACAGTTGAAATAACCCTTAACATTCAGGAAGGTTCAGGAATTTTAAATTCCTCTTAATGATTGTTTTGCATAATGCATGCATATTTCTAACCACCTTTGGTGGGGGGAGTGCTGGGATTGAGCCCAGGCCCTTGCATGTGCTAGCCAAGTGCTGTACCACTCAGCCTTAGCCCCAGCACTATAACCATCTTACTAATCAAAATACCACCTCAAAAAGCACCTTTAAACCCCTTCTTAAGTATTCCCACCCCAGAGGTAACATTTGAATCTCTATACATTATATTATACTGTTCTTAAAGAGATACATAGTTTGTTACTATATTACATGTAGATATATTAGACATTCTTCATTTTATCAGTTTATACTGTTCAGTGTCATGATGCTTTTATTCAACATAAAAATATAGGAGATCTATTTATGAGGCTGTATTCTTTGAGGTTTTTTAATTGTTATGTATTACTCTGTTATATGAACATACAAGTTTCCCATCTTACTGTTTACATTTTCCATTATCTCTAATGAATATAGCCGCTGTGGACATTTTTTACAGGATCCTTATTGACCATATATACCCGTTTATCTTGGAGTCAAATTGCTGTGTTATAAGATAGGCATATATTTAGTCTTCATTTAATACTGCTAAACAATTTCAAGAATAAAAGTATTGAAAACGGCTCATACTACAGTTTTTCTAGACCCTCATTAGCTCTTGGTACTGTCCGTCTTGTCAGTTGTTGGCTGTATATTCAGTTAGGATTCACTGATGATTTTTATGTATGTTATTACTCAGGTAATGCTATTGTTTTTATTCCTGATTGTTCGGGTGAGAGTAGTGCTTAGCACCCTTGCTGTGCTCATGTCTTTGACTGTCATCTTCTGTGTGGTGCCTGTTGGAATCTTTTGGCATTTTTCAGTTAGTTTTGTCTTTCTTACTGATTTAAAGAAAATTTTATGTGTTCAAAGAATAATTTTATAATCAGTTATAACTATTGTAGAGTTTGTGTTTTCCCTTTTCTCTCTACTATTAAGTGATCTATTTTGCTTTTTTTTTCTCCAAAATCTTGAAAGTCTTGGGTTATCAACCTTGGTATCTAAGGATAATGAATTGGCTTCCCTTGTGTTACAGTTCTGGGAGATTTTCTTACATAAGATTTTGGGTATAACATTGTTTCATCTGATCCTTCTTTGAGCTATCATTGCTTTTATAGAAACATTAATTTTTAGCCCCTGCTGTCTGAGATACTGTGCTTTACCTGTGAGACTTAACAGCTCCCAAAAGCATCCATTGACTAAAAGGGAATCTAGATCTGACAGAAAAAGGGTACATTTTCTGGTTTTGGATTTGATAGAATTTCGTATCCAGTTTTTTGGAATTGTTGTTTTGTTTATTCCATCCAAACATGATAATGCAGGAAAGGAATTTAAGAATCAAAAAAAAAAAAAAGAAAGTACACTGGCCGGGCTTGGAGGTGCACACCTGTAATGGCAAGTACTCCAGAGGTAAGACAGGAGAATCACAAGTACAGAACCAGCCTGGACAACTTAGATACACCCTGTTTCAAAATTTACAGAGGGGATGTTGCTCAGTGGTAGGGCACTTGCCTAGTATATTCAGTCCTCGGAATGGGGGAAAGAAAAAGAACAACAACAAACTGGACATCAAAAGGCTGTTGGTTAACCGGTCATGATGGTGCATGCCTGTAATCCCAGCACTCTGGAGGCTGAGGCAGGAGGATTGCTGTGACTTCGAGGTCAGCTTGAGCTACATAGTGAGGCCCTGTTTCAAAAAAAACAAAAATAAAAAGTCTGGTGGTTACAGAAATTTATGTGGCTATCTGTTATGTTAGGCCCATAGGCAGGCATGTACAACCTGTGGTCTACTTTGCTTTGCTGCTGCTGCTCCTGCTGCTGTTGTTTTTGAGACCACATATGAAATATCTAATATCATTAATACGTATGTAATGTAACAAAATTTGCTTTTTAATTTTTTTTTAATTGTGACATTTTTAAAAAGAGGGCAGGAAAAAAAGCAGGCCACGGGTGAGACACACCTGCAAGTTAGAATTACATACCAATTCCTTTTTTAAAAACTCACAGATACTCATGTATCACCCAGGAAAACCTTTGAACTTTCAAAGCCAAGAGCCATTAATAGAAGGTCCTTTGGATCAAATACAGAATAGCATCTTATATATGAACTGAATAGGAAATAATAGCTTTTAGGTACTACATACCTATAATACCAATATGTATATTAGATCTTCAAGCTCTGTATTATCTATCGACATCATAGACTTCTTCCAATTTATACATTTATAGATAGAAATATATGGGCCGGGGATGTAGCTCAGTGGCACCCTGCCTGCCTCACAAGCGCAAGGTCCTGAGTTCAATCCCCAGTACCAAAAAAAAAAAAAAGGAGAAGAAGCAGTTTACTCCTACCAAAAGGAGGCAGCATCTGTATTTCTTCTTTTTTTTGGTACCAGGGATCAAACTCAGGACCTTGCGCTTGCAATGCAGGGGCGGTGCTTCTGAACTACATCCCCAGCCCAGGAGTAAGCATTATTTCAGTACATCATAGTTAAATCATTTCCTATTATCTTTCACTCAGATCACTTCATTCCTTTTTGTTACTTATCTGCCCATAATAGTAATAGAACTAATGACCCTTGCATTTCTGTACCCCTAGTGCGTAGCATAGTGCTTTGCCATAGAAGACACTCAGTAATTTAATGAAGGAAGAGACTGATGTTTAGTAATAAATGATAAAGGAATATTACAGCTAATTCAAAAATGTTTTATAACTTTATCATACTTAAAACTGCAAGAAAGTCAAATAGTGCCTATTGTGGGTTTTGGTAGCAATTTAGATCATTCAAGAATGTTACATCTTTGTAAGCTACTGCTGAAATGTGTTGCTTACCCAGGTCTTTGAAAAGCCTGGTCAGGAGTACCATTATAATTTTTTGGGCTGAGCTTTTGCTCAAGTAACAACTTGTCTGTGATAGTTACTATTGTTAAAATGAACCAACAGATAGTTTTTGCTTATTTTTTAATTTTTGCTCTTTACCAGGTTTCCATTCTTTTATGGAGTATTAAAAAGAATAGATATATATTGGATTGACAGTTCTAACCCAGCATAAGGACATAGACTGTTTGCACCTGTTTTTAAGCTTCTGGCTTCCAATATCCTTAGTCAGGTTTTGAGTACATACACTTTTTAAAAATAGTAGCCTGCAAAATAACTTCTCTAAGTTATTGTACTTTAGATTTAGTAATTCCTGTAAGGCTTTCAAATGGCCTTACCTGGATTTCATTGTACAACTAATTTAATGTGTAAAACAACATTTTAGTTGTATTTTCTCAAAGAATACAAATGGTTTCTTGTTTGTATGTTTGGGAAACAGTTGAACCCGGCAGGTGCTCTTCCATTGAGCTACATCCCCACCCCAAAAGAATATAAGCAGGATGCATTTGCCTTATTGATCCAAATATCTAAACTAGTTTTTACGTATTGAGTTTGTGCTATTTTTTATTAGCTGGTACATTTTTTCTGCCAGATTAGTTGCAAATTAGTGAATATGAATTATACTTTAACTTACTTTAAAATTTATATAGAAGATACAGAATGACTTTCATTTTTTTTATTTTTCACTTTCTTTGTTTTAAAGCAGCTTCACAACCTGTTGATAACCATGTTAGCCCGTCTTCTTTCTTGGGCCAGCCACCAGCATCACCAGCCAGATACTCACCAGTTTCTAAAGCAGTCCTTGGAGATGATGAAATTACTAGGTAAGGAATTTAAATTAACATTCACCTTCTTACATAAAGTCAACTATTTTTTGTAACTATTCAGTCCTATTAGTTGTACAAAATAATGGGTTTCATATTGCGCTTTGTAAAGTCAGCTATTAATCAGCAACGAATGACAGACACAATATTTAGGACGAAAAAATTTTAAACTAACTTTATTCCTTCACTAATGTATACCATAATATATTTTGACAACTATTTGATTGATGTTCAAAATTTAACAAGTGGCCTTTTCTTTGTGTGATATATGTCCCTGATATCCTGAAATTCACTTTTACTTAACATTACTAACTGCACTGAAGTTTATGAATCTTTTCAATCCCTGAGAATTCCAATAAGATGAAAAGTAATCAATTTTTAAAAGTATTTTAGCTCTTTTTCATATAATTTGAGGTACTTTATACAAATATTACATATTAACTAGAGCATTTAACATATATGCTAGTTAATGGCTGTTTTATGTTTTTATTAGTTGCATCATTGTTCACATTATTATTTTGGAACCTTTGTTTTTATAATAGTTGTGATTTTTTTTCCTCAGATTACTGATTTCAGGCAATGATCTCCATAAGGACAGAGAGGAGGAATTGTCTTGTTTCTCAGATTTAGCACTGCTGTAAACAAAAGAGTTGCTCACTAATTGTGTTTAGGATGAAATTAGCTGAAAGAATAATATGCTTATTGTGACAGGAATATTCACGGCTGTTATTTAGCCATTGTTCCTAGACTGATCTTCAACAATTTATTTTTATTATTTGATAATAATGCCTATTTCTAGAAGAGGAAAAGTTAATCTTTAATCTCTGTAGATATTTTACAAATTAAAATATGTATTTTACTTTTATTAGTACATGTTTATAGTACATAATGATTACATTCATCATGGGGAATTGGTACATATACATAACACATCATTATTTTCTAAAATATAAGTTGAATCTATTCCTGTCCCCATCCTTCTTCACTCCATATCTCTTGTCTAGAATATTTTATTGGACTTTAATATACACAATAGATCTCCCTCCCTGTTTATGAGTTTTTAATTTCTCTACATACTCACCAATGCTTGTCTGTTTTTGTTTTGTTCTGTATGATGTTCGTTTGTTTGTAGTAGATTTGAAGGTTCTCATTGTGGTTTTGATTTACATTGCTTCTGATATTAAGCATTTTTTTCATGTGTTTGTTATTTGAAAACTGGGATTTATTTTCCTCTAAAATTACTACTGCATTTCAGCAAAGTATTTTTAATTATTATTTGCTCATATAAAATTATAATTCATACACATGTTTTAAAACAGAGTAGAAGCCCTAAACCATGAATCCACTGTCAGAAATTAGGAAGTAAGGGCAGGGGACTTAGCTCAGTGGTTTTGCCACCTGCTGCGCAAGCGCAAGGACCCGAGTTCGATCCCCAGTACCAAAAAAAAAAATTAGGAAATAAAACATCATCAATATAGTGAAACCTAACTGTGCCCTTGATCCCACCCTGCTTCTCCTCTACTGCTCCTCTAAATTACTGCTTTCATGAATTTTATATTATCCATGTATGTTTCCCTAAACAGTATCTAGTTTTATTTTACTATTTTTGACAAGAAAATATAATGTAAGCCCTTTATAAGTAAGATGGCAAAATTGAGTAACAGTGAAGATTTATGTATGTCTAGAAAGTAGTACTTTAAGTTTTGAACAGACTGATGTTTAAGAAGATTATGTATTGGGCCGGGGATTTAGCTCGACAACACAGGGCCTGCCTGGGAAGGGTGGTGTCCTGAGCTAGATCCCTGGTACCAAAAAAAAGCAGATTTTATATTCTATGGAAGGATATTTAAATTTTATTTTTAAAAAATACTTTACTTTGGGCCAGGGATTTAGTGCAGTGGTTTCGCCACCTGCTGCACAAGCGCAAGACCCAAGTTCGCTCCCCGGTACAAAAAAAAAATACTTTGTTAAGGTTTTTGTGACTAATTCCTCCTGCATTTTTTATTTTATTTATTTATTTATTTTGGAGCCGGGGATGGAACTCGGGTCCTTGCGCTTGCACAGCAGGTGGCGAAACCACTGCACTAAATCCCTGGCCCCTCCCCTGCATCTTTTAGAAAAATCACATTAAATTTTGAAAATGTTTAACAAATATACTGTATTCTGTATTTCATTAAATCTAAAATACAGTTAGTGGGCATTTTTATTGCTTTACCAGAAGGTATGCATAGGTTCCATATAATTATATCTAACTGCCAACAATTGTGAAAAATTGTCAGTGGTAAGATATATTCCAGAGACTTTTGGAATTAACTAGATTATCAGAATTGACAAGCTGTAATAAGTAAAGAAATCACTAGTAGTGGCTAAACCAAAAAGGTTTGGACTTTGTTTTGATTTGAGACTGGGTCTCCTTATGTTGCCGTGGCCTTGAACTCAGGGTTTAAGTCATCTTTCCATTTAGCCTCCTGAGTCGCTGAGTCTACAGGTATGCACCATCACACACAGCTTTAAAAGATACCTAATTATTTCAGTTTTTAAAAGCCTAGATTGGGGAAATTTCCAGGTTAGTATAGCAACCTTAGGCCCATGATATCTCTGGTATACTTTTTTTTGGAATGTATTTATTGATAGGAAAGCTCCTAAGGGGGCAGGAGGGGACCTGAGTGGGTATACTCTTGTTATCACTCTTACGGTTACATGTCCAAACAAGTAAAGGGGTTTTATTAAAAGTTTATTTGGGCCAGGGATTTAGCTCAGTGGTTTTGCCCCCTGCTGTGCAAGTGCAAGGACCCGAGTTCAATCCCCAGTACCCCCCCAAAAAAGTTTGTTTGTTTGGGGGAGGGGCATGTTGACAGAGAAAGGGAGAGTAATAAATATGCTTTTTCCTTACTAGAGTCTTTCTTTGGGAAATGACAGAAACATTTCCCTTCATTTCTCAGAGGCCAGAATGGAGTCAGACCTTCCCCTTGCAAAGGGAATGGAATTGAAATGACCAGTTTGGGTTAGTTGTGATTCATCCCTTGGGACTGGAGAAGGACCTGCTTCCTCTAAGAAAAAAGGGATACAACATCTAAAAAGTGGGGATAGTGATTGCTTCATAGGCAATACAGCATGTACAACATCAACTTTTCAGAAGTATATATTTCTTTTTGTGTGTGTGTGTGTGTGTGTGCTAGGGATCGAACTCAGGACCTTGCGCTTGCAAGGCAGGTGGCAGAACCACTGAGCTAAATGCCTGGCCCAAGTATATATTTCTTGATAGACTGTTTATATTGCTTTTATATTTTTACATTCTTTTCTATTTTTTTGGTTCATGTTTGCTTGTTTTTTAACATAAGTTTTGGACTTTTATAGTAAATCAGATTTTTATCCTTTTGATTTCTAGGCTTAGAAAGACTCTCTTTACCCCTAAGTTTTGAAAAACCTTTTAGAGTCCCTCCATCTAGCTTTCTCTTTTTTTGATACCGCGAATTGAACTAAGGATCTTGCGCTTGCCAGGTAGGTGTGGTGCCACTGAGCTAAATCCCCAGCCCCATCTAGCTTTCTTAATAGTTTGATAATATGAGTTATCAGTACAAAGTTCTCACTAAAAGAATGTCAGGTTCTAAATAAAATTTTCAAACTGTGTAATATTTTTTAATTTTTAGGGAACCTAGAAAAGTTGTTCTTCATCGTGGTTCAACAGGCCTTGGCTTCAACATTGTAGGAGGTGAAGATGGAGAAGGAATATTTATTTCCTTTATCTTGGCTGGAGGACCTGCTGATCTGAGTGGAGAGCTCAGGAAAGGAGATCGTATTATATCGGTAGGCTATGTTAATTAAAATGCTATTTTTCTTATCTTACCTATGACTTGTTTATGATTACAGGGGTTTTTTTTTTTTAGCCCAGAGTTAGGGATATATCTTGGTTATTTTACCATTTTATGCTGGAATTTCCAGAATTGTAGTGCTGTCAAAGAGTATATTTTATATGATAGATTTTTGATATTTGACCTTACCAGTAATCAGTTTGGGGGAGGGTTATTTTTTATTTGTGGTACTAGGAATTGGACCCAGAGCCTTTGCAAAGAGCCATATGAGGTCATCATCATCATCTCCCCACCCACTCACCCCTGGGGAGATCAAACTCAGGACCTTGTGCTTGCTAGGCAGGTGCAGCACCGCTGAGCTACATCCCCAGCCCCCCCTCCCCTTTTTTGAGGCAGGGTTTGCTAGGTCTCAGTAGTGTCCACCCTGGACCCAAACATGCAGTTCTCCTGCCTCAGCCTCCTAGAGGGCTGGGATTACAGGCATGGGATGAGGAGACAGTTTTTATAAATGTAGTTGGAAGGAATCTATATTCTCTGTCTGTTAACTTGTTGGTCAGTTGTGTAGTTATTTGTGTACTTCTTTCTACTTAATCACTTAGCTGTTTGACCTGTTATTAAGAGGTTTTAAGCCTGGTGTGGTCATGTACATCTGCAATCCCAACACTCTGAGGCTGAGGCAGGAGGATCAGGATCGAAAGTTCAAGCCTATCCCAGGCAACTTAGTGAGACTGTCTCAGAATAAAAAGTAATCAAAGGTTGAGGATGTAGCTCAGTGCAGAGGCTGTGTTCAATCCCCAGTACCACCAAAAAAACAAAAGGTGTTGAAGTTGTTTGAACATGAGGTGAGTTTAGCAGTCTGTCCTTGTTGAGTTAACTTTTTTCTTTATATTTTTGGGTTGCTGAATGAGATAGACAGGGTCTCACTAAGTAGTCCAGGCTGGCCTCAAACTCATCATGTAGTCCATGGTGGTCTTTTAACCTTCAGTCCTCTTTCCTCTGTCTCCTAAGTGCTGTGATTATAGGCATGCACCACCTTGCCTATCTTTACGCCTTTGAAACTGTGTTATTAGATGTATATAAGTTTAGAAATGTCATTTCTTCCTGGTATGTTGAAGTTTTTATCATTATAATGATCATCTTTGTTTTTCATAATGATTTTGCCATGAAATCTATACTGATGTTAATGTGACTCTGACTTTCTTTGCTATATCTTTTCTCTTTACTTTCAGTTTGTCTGTATGGTTACAGTTCTCCCTAAAGACGCAGATCTTGGGAAACTTTAATTCTATTCCTGCTATTTCTAGTATTTTCCTTCTGTTTTCAGTTTTATAGTCCCAAATGTATTGATTTTTATTTTTGGCTTTTAGCACTTTACCCACATGGTATGCAATTGTTTTGTTTACTGTGATTGGTATCTCCTTTCTTCAGTGTTTCTCAGTGGACCACTAACAGCATTTGGATTGCTCAGTTGCTTGTTGCATAGGACTGTCTTGCTTGTTGTAGGAAATTTAGCTTTTCTAGCTTCCATCTTCTCCATGCTCCTTAGTCATTGTAAAAAGCAAAAATGTTCCTCAAGTGTCCATATTTGCCTCGATGAGAGCCCTTAGTTTGAAATATCTTTATTTTACCCTCAGTTGTAAATTTAATTCTACCTAGGTTCTGGGATAAATTGATAGCTATTGTCTCTAAATACTTTGAACATACGGTTTTATGCTGTCTGACTTCTTTGTTGCTATTTAACAAAAGTCTGTGTCTTGTTTATATGTGATTTGCATTGTGACTAGTTGCTTTGGAGATCCTTTTGTCTTTGATGTGTGGCAGATTTGCTGAAATGTGTTTATATCTAACATTTTATCTATTATTTGGGATTCATTATGCTTACTAAATCAGCAGATTGTGTTTTTCATCAGTTCTGGAAACTTCTCAGCCATTATCTTTTCAAATTTTGCCTTCCCACATTATGTATCTCCTTGTACTTCATTTCCTTCATGAATTCTTCATGTCTAAGTTTTCTTCATCTACGTCTAATCTGCTTTCTTAGATAAAAATAAGATATTTATTTCAGAGTACCTTTTTTTTTTTTTGGTACCGGGGATTGAACTCTGGTCCTTGCACTTGTGGGGCAGGCGGTAGAGCCACTGAGCTAAATCCCCAGCACTACCTTTTCTTTTTTTGTCTCCTAGATTTGTCTCCTGGTTCTTTTTACAGTCTGCCTTGGTGGTTTTGGTAGGGTCTTGAGTATGTGCAGATTCTTGTATGCTTTTGGGTTTTTCTACTAAACATATAGTATAGTACTTTATTTTGTATGTACAATGGTTCTCTTTTCTAAAGTTCATATATGTCTTCTGTAGTGCTTCATAATGAATTGTTTTCTGATGTTCCAAATTTCGCTTTGTGAGCTTTGTTTGATGTTTGTTTTTTTGCTTGTTTGTTTTTGGTAGAACTTTATTTCCTTTATTTCTAGGAATCCAGTGCTGCCTGAATTGAAAGTGGTGTTCTAGGGAAGTATGTTACATTGCTCATGGTGGGCTCTCAATCACTCTTAGCACATTTTCCCAATGACAAAACTAAAATTTAGATATTCGTTTGCCCACAGTAGCTAGTAAAAGGTGCAGAGAAGATTTACTTTAACCACTATGCTATACCATGGTTATACTTAAACAGTAAAGTAGACACTTTCTGGAACTTGAGGATTTTGAGATCTGGAAACAAACTTTATATCCTGGGCCAGCAGTGCTATTACAGCATTGCTATTTTAAATCATGTATTTGATATAAATCATTAGAAACTTTTTCAGCTACAAAATAAATCAGAAATACTCCTCAAACTGAAGATAAATGTGATTGGAACATGGTAATAAAAACATTCCAGAAATGTGAAATGCATCTTTTATACAGTTCTAAGGTCAGTCCCTCTCACTATCTTACTTTCCCTGAATATATTTGGATATATCAGACTATTTCTTTTGAGGACCCTGTATACTCAAGCGTAGACTAAGTCCAAGTCAGAAAGAAGGATGACTGATCACTCATAAAAGAAGTGGGAGGGCTGGGGATTTAGCTCAGTGGTGCTGCCGTCTGCCTCCCAAGCACAAGGTCCTGAGTTCAATCCCCGGTACCAAAAAAAAAAGAAGTGGTAAACTATTTTTCTTTTATTCTAGAATCATGGTATAACCAACTGGTGTTTGACTAAAAATGACTCTTAGACACTTGAGTCTTCACATATGCCCCATGCAGTGCTTAGAAAATAAAATTATTAATATACAACTAAATGGAAACTATTACATATTTAAGGCTAAACAATTTAAAAAGCATAGTACTCCCCACGAGTAATGATTATTGCAACAGATTTTTGTTGTTGTTTTTGAGAGAGCGTCTCATTATGTGGTTCAGGCTGGCCTTGAACTTACTGTGTTCAGATTGGCCTCGAACTAGCTGCAATCCTCCTGCATCAGCCTCCAGAGTACTGAGATTACAGGCACACACCACCATGCCTAGCTATTCCAGCAGATTTTTAAGGCAGAAATAGAACCTACTTACAGTGTTAGAATACAGAAAGTCTCAAACCATCCCTCTTAACCTAATATATCAAAACAATCTGAGTAAGTTTAGAAAAACTGAACCCATCAGTGTACTAGAATTCAGCTCTAGGTAGTGAGGTAGGCAGAGGTATAGACAGGGCTAGGGAAAAATCATCAAGAATGTACCTAATATGTTGTGGCCTTTGTAGACCAGTGAAATAGTTAAAAACTACAAAGCCACACAAAACAAGTCTGAACCCACCTGCTACATTCTTTCCCATGGATCTTCACTGAGTATTCAGAGGCAGTAAGCCAAGTTTTGGGGACCAAGAGAAGAGAATTAAAAATCATTCCTGAATCATACAAGCCATCCTCAAATACAAGGCAGCTGCCACTAATTGTAATGTATCATAATGTATATCACTATGAGAGTACTAGAAACCTACACTACAGAGTGTGTCTTCTGAGCCTCGACAAAAGATGTGTGAAAATCAACAGGAGCTCTAGAATTTCCGTTGCTAAGACATGGAAGTGAAGCATGAAAGTTGCGATAAAGCTCTCTCTGGCAGTGGAGACATAGTGGGTAGGAAGAAGAGAAGAAAGATACCTCCCAAGACAAAGGAAAACTGAGGGAGGTTAAAAGAACAAAAATGATTTACCAACAACTCATCAGGCAGCAGTGTTACACACAGTTTTGAAAGTCAGTGGCTCAGCTATAAAATGAGATCTTGCACACCTCACCAGTGCTTGTACCCTAAGGTCCTCAGAAGGAAAAATCTTGATCCTGTTTTGAAAACCTTTTAACTAATCAAAACTAAAACTGCAACAAAACACAGCTCAAGTACAGATCATATTGATACAGCTACCAATTCTAGCAACCTAACACATGGATTACTCCCTCTTTGCAGGGATTAATCCCTGACATATGAACTATTCTATTCCAGAATAGTAGTCTACAATATTTACTTCATTCTCTCCCCACTCTCCTTTCCCCCCTCCCCCCTCTCCCCCCCCTTCCTCCCTACCT